GTTTGATGATTATCCTGAGATAACATTGTTGGGAGGACTTTCATTTCGTATGAAAGTGTATGAAGGAGAGAATCGAAGTTCGATCTCACCAGAAGAGTACGACTTCAGCCATTTGGCTTTTATACGACATTGAGATTGATGCATTCCACGAGACCTCCCTCTTTTCGGGTGGAAGTGGCTGAGCTTTCGTCCATCATATGATTGAGATCAGCGGAGCTGGGACTCATTCTTGTAAAATTTTTGCCTTAGTGTTAACGTCGTATAAAAGCCGAACGATTGCAGTACAGTTGGATTCAACCGTCCTCTTCTGGTGTTATCAATCTTCGAATCCCTTCTTCAAGTACTTTCATATAAAAGTCCAAGCAATAATGAAATGCAATACAAGCGTAAGATCTACCCATCTCCTTAAGGCCTTAAACGAAATAGGGCGAATACATATACAACGCCAAAGTTTTTACATCATGCCCTCATGAAAAAAGCTAATTCTCCACATTTTTGGTAAATGGTTTTTATCGGCCACACACGATATACTATACCATACTATCTGATCTATTTAGCGGAAATATCTTTGGAGCCCGGTGACGCATCTGTCGACAGCAACGAACGCCACGACGAGTTAATGCTACTCGACGAGTCCGAAGGGAGCATCGATGGTGTCGATTGCATGGAAGGTGCCGAATGCATCGGAGATGCTGGTCTCGTCTCCTCGCGTCTTGAAACTTGCCCAGTAGAGACGTCGGCCTTCGTCTCTGCTGCCTCAGTTTGTAGTAATAGTAGCAAGCGTCGTTTGCTGGTGGAGACTGGCTTTTCTGCTGGAAGTTGTTCTGACCTGGAGGTCGACGATGAGGAGGACGAGGAAGAACAAGAAAGCGAGATGGACGAGGGAGGGAAAATGTCTCTGGTTGTACGGGACACGCTATCCCGAAGATGCTTAGGCGGCAGGCAAGATTCACTATCACTTGGTGTGAAACTTGAGTCCGTTGAGTCCTGTTTGCGATCTGGGAATGGAGTTATCGGAGGTTTGACTGATTCTAACAGCCTGGAACTCGAGTCCCGTCACTCAACCTGCTCGCCGATGCAGACACCGCCGCCTCTCTCGCCTGCCGCGTCTGGCCCCGGCAGATCCTCTCCCAGCTCCACACTTAGTCAGACATCTTCGAGCCCCGTTTCCAGACCTGTCGGCTCCCCGGGACTGTTGCTCAGTCTCAAAGTGACTGGAACTCTCTCAGACCTTCGTGCTGTTCCAGGCCCTGACTGTTTGATGCCACCTGACCGACTGGAGACGAACGGACAACTGAGTGGGATTCGTATCAGCAGACCCGGAGAGACCGAATGCAGGAGTACAACTGCGGCACAGGCTAACTAGACTGCAACATGTGCACTCGTTCTCTAATCACAGGTGATTATTTTCACTGATTTTATGCTCCGTTATTCTACTTTATGCACAGATTACCATAATTTGCCTTGCAACAACTTTGTTGCTCAACTAGGAATGAACGATGAACTTGCTAGTAAGCTTAAATGGCTATATCGTTTATCCAGGTTTGTCATTATTACCCTCATCATCACAGGGTGTGATTACCTCTCCGTTCTTTTGTTTCTTTTCTCTTCTTTTTTATCCCTTTTATTTCCTATTGCGTCTCTATTCTCCAATCTTTTTAATATTTGCTTTCTTCCATTTGGAGTATTTAATGAGTATTCGCTTCTTTTCAGCCCCATCAGTGGATGCAAATAATAACTCTTGAATTACAGAGCTCTCCAGGTAAATGAAGCCTGCAAAGGGGCGTTTACTGCCAGTGCGGCCAACTGGTTCATTATCATGCTCCTCATCACCGCCATTTTGCCATCTCCCCGACGATTGGTCCGACATACTCAATATTTTCTGCGTATGCATTATCGGCACATCTGTACCTCAAAGCATGCATACATGTATACTCATATACTCGCACAAAGACAAAAGTCTATTCGTCTGTATCCGAGCATTTGCCTAACTAGGGCTGTGATTTCGGTCGGACGTTTTCGCTTCCCTTATCGTAACTCAGGATAATTTTATTTACCCAGAACTTCAAGAACTGGCAGATTTACACGTTGCCGACAAATGAAGCAACTTGGCAACGCTCTTTGTCCTTTATCTTCTCTCTCCTTAAATCTACTACTCGCATTGCTCTCATTTCCTTTTCTTGTTTTTCTCAAATTGGTTCGTCAAAAACCAGTCGGAGACGATATTTAGAGACGGCTCCTACTTCCTGTCTCGTAAATAGCCTCATTTTTCTGCACGTTACCACGTTGCATCATCCCTCAATCTTTCTTTCTCTCGCTCTTTCCTTCTTTTTCTTTTTAAAACTCAGATCTGAATACTTCATGAGCCTCATTGTTCTTTTCGGTCCACAGTGGCTCTTTTTTCTTATATATACCTATATATATGCATCCCCTTTTGTGATTGTCGGACAACCAAAATGCCTGAATAATTCGTCCAACTTTTCCTTGCGTCTCTTAATCATATTACAGCATTTGGGATGCATCAACTCGCTTTTTCCTCGGATACCTTTTCGATATCCCGTAGACCCGACTTTCAAGACTGCCCTCCCAAATGGCTTACTCGTCATGACGTTTTTTTTTTTACAAATTTTCAACATTTACCTTATCACCTTTTGTAGTCAGGTTATTACCACTGCAGTAATATGTTGTTTACTTGTTTATTTTTTGATTATCTCAGGGATTTTATCGAATATATATATATATATATATATATATATAATGCAAAACAAGACGCTAATTTTTTTGTACAGCTCAGGAAAAACTCAGATGTCGGGATTGGGTCTTCAAAGCATCTTCTATTTTCTTCCTCGCTTTCTTCGCCTCCTGTTGCTTTCCCCACTTGCTACAATTGCACCCTTCGACAAGATGTGACGAGTCTACTGTAGCTGAAACAGCAAACGTTTGCTCATTCCGCCTGTTGCCAGCATTTGTGAAATGTGCTTTAATGTGTTTGCTTGCTTCACTCTCGAGTTCGATTTTCTCGTAGTCGACCAACCTTTAAACTTACATCCATCTTCACAATGAGCCAAGTTTCATTCTCCTATTCTAAATTACATCTTAGTGGACTCTCTCTACTCTCTACTCACTTGAGGTATTGCCTGTGGTCGATTATATTTTGCAATCTTTTTTTTCATTCTTTCCTTGTCCTCATCACATATCTACACATACGGACTAGTCTGCAAAAGTGCATACTCATTTACACTGGTCTTTTCTGAGGGATTTACATTACACTTTGTTTTTAGCCTTTCAAAAGTTATTCATGCATGCAGCCTGCCTGACTTTCATCATTCTTTTTCTTGATCGTTTTATCATATTGTTTATTCGTCTAGCTGGCGACACTTTTCGCATAACTGATTGCGAGACTCACGGGCTTCCCCGAGGCTGAGCCTTGCACAAGTCTTCGCTCTAACCGTCCATTATACTCCCTCTGCCTTTGAGAAATATTGCGATTTCCGAGTAATTGTAAATTCCTATTTCTATGCATTCATACATTCTCAGGGATGCTGCCATGTCTTAAATTCCATATATATATATATATATTTATATATA